TTTATGTTTAATTTGAAATTTGCACTTCTTATCCCCTTTATTTATTTATTTATTTATTTATTTATTATTTTGGTATCATTAATCTATAATTACATGAAGAACATTATGTTTACTAGGCTCCCCCCTTCACCAAGTCCCCCCCACATACCCCTTCACAGTCACTGTCCATCAGCATAGTAAGATAGCATAGACTTTTGAATCAAACTTCCTGGGTTCAAATCCCAGCTCTGTCACTCACTAGACTTGTGACCTGGAGCAAGTTATATAATCTTTCTAAACCTTGGCTTACTTCTCTGTAAAATCAATAATAATACTATCTAACTCTTAAGAATATGGTGAGGTTTAAATGAGATGATACACCTAAAATTCTTAATATCCTCACTTGCACTGGATTAAAAGGTTTGTAAATGTTTGCTGAGATCATGATGTGGAAAATTTCCACCTTCTATAAACAAACAATGATCCTGGGCAGTTCTCAGAACTGTCTTCAGACTTCAGTAACAAAAAAGCTCATTACTACTGGGTAAGAAAAGAGACGCTATGTCACTATTAGTCTTCAACACGTAATCGCATAAAACAGATATTCATGAAAAAGGAAAGTTAAGGAAGGAAACAATAAAGATAAAGGCACAAATTCATGAAATATAGAACAAAATACCAAGAAGATAAACAAAACCAAAAGCAAGCAATTTGAAAAGAGTGGTAAAATTGTTAAACCTCTGATAAGGCCATTCCTGGAATACAGGCAGGGTGGTGATGGGGGAAAGAAAGAGAGAGGGAAATAACAGAATAGAAATTTTAAAACAATAAGTAACATTATAAATAGCTGTATGATAATATGAAATTTCTAGATTTTGATAACCCAGATGAAATTTCTAGAAACATGTAACCTGTCAAATTTAGTGTAAGAAGAAAGAACACTTGAGTAGAAGTAGGAATTAATCAAATACCTTTACCCACCCACCCCCCAAAAAAGCTGTAGGGTCAAAAGTTTTACCAAACTTTTAAGGAACAGATAACTCATATCTTATGCAAGTTGTTATAGAAAAAGAGGAAAAACTGCCTAGCCCATTTTATGAAGTCAGTTTAGCCTTGATTCAGAAAGTAACAAGAAAGTAAATATTAAGGTCATTTCACTTATAGACGTATTTGATAAAGACCTACAAAATTATTAGCTAACTAAATCCAATGGTGTTTTAAAATGGTAATTCATCATGATAAAGGAGGATTTAGTTCAATGTCAGAAAATCTAATTCACTCCATTAGTAGGGAAAAGAGAAAATTCACATGATTATCTTTTTTTTAAAGGTATGATTGATATACACTCTTATGAAGGTTTCACATGAAAAACAATGTGGTTACTACATTTACCCATATTATCAAGTCCCCACCCATACCCCAATGCAGTCACTGTCCATCAGTGCAGCAAGTTGCCACAGATCCACTATGTGTCTTCTCTGTGCTACACTGTTCTCCCGGTGATCCCCCACACCCTGTGTACTAAACATAATACCCCTCAATCCCCTTCTCCCTCCCTCCCCACCCACCCTCCCAAACCCCTCCCCTTTGGTAACC